AGAAACTATTTCCCGAGGTTTTTGGCTAGGCGGTTTATAGTATTCGTATAAATAGCGAATGCATGCCATTCATAATGTAACTCTTCACAACTCGAGAGAAATAAGACCTAAGCAATTTCACATCAATAAAAACCTTCCTTCGATCTTGAGTTCTGTCGAGAAAAACCCTAGAAATTTCCGAACTCTAAAACTTCTTTAAACAAATTTTGGTTTTGTGAGTTTTGGCTCACATAGAGACATCCCAAGCTTATCCTTGTATATAAGTCTTTTTAATATTGTCTTTTGTGTTTTTGGAATGTTTTGATGGGTTTATTGAGTGGTTTTAGGTCTCAAAAGGTGTTCATGCTTTGTGGTTTGAAGAAATAGCTGTCAAAAGGTGCAAAGAGAAGATGGCCTTGTGTTTAAATGCATTGTGACACATGGCCTCGGCGTGAACCCCTCGATATGATCCAAGCCGAGGCCACAAGTTCGAATGGAAAGGGGATTACCTCGGTGTCATGCCTCGGTTAGACCCTGCCGAGGCCTTGGTGTTTTAGTGCTTGAAACAAAGGAAATGGGAGACACCTCGGTGTAACCCCTCGTCCAAAGGGAGGCCAAGGTGAATGTACGAAGAATAGTGGTATTACCTTGGTGTGATGCCTCAGGGTGGAATATACCGATGCATACTTGTTTTAAACCCAGAAAACTGCACCCCTCAGCCACACACCTCGGCAATGGTACACCGAGGCCCTCTTGCATGAGCTGATGAGATCAAGAAGCTTTGAAGACTTGGGTCAAGAGAGAAGGTTCAAGCTACAGCCATCTCCATCATGTTCCATACCTCTTTTCCATCAAAAACAAATCTGGTAACACTCCAAACTCTTATACATATGTATGTAGTTCCTGATTTTGCATTTTGTATTTTTACTTTTGATTTTACTCATTTCTCATATTTTTATAACACAAGGGACTGTGTTATTTAAGTGTGGAAGAGGGGTTTAGTATTTACTAACCATGTTTTCTTTGATCTTATTTGCTATTTTAGAGTCTTGAGTCTAATTGATCATGCATAAGAATCTATTTGCATAGAAAAACCAAAAAAAATTGAAAATTTTGAAAAATTTTAACAAAAATGCTCATTTAGTTGCATTCACATTTAAGATTGTATCTAGGATTGCATATTCATATAGGTTTGCATTATTTGCATTGGAGTAATGATAGGTTTCTTTGAGAGAAGATCACTTCAAGATTTTAGTTCATGGTCCTAGTTGTTAGTTCTTTGATGCTTGCAAGACTTGAAATCTGTAGGATTGTTGATACAAGCTTTGAATTGAACTCAGCCGTAGCAAGTGAAAGCCTTAAACTTGATTTGCAATTATCATGTGATGCATGTTTGTATGAGCATTGTGGATACCATTATACATATTTGGGCTATCTTATTTTTTTTACCACTCTTGTTAGTCCAAGTAGCTGATCTCCATCACTGAGACAGTTTCCCCTGCCTTTAACTAAGCCATCTTTGAAGCCATAAACACTCTAGTGAACGAATGTGAGGCCTTCTTTTTGAATGAACTTGACAAAAAGTGTTGGGTTTATAGCGACAAGAGTAGACTTTCATGTCGATCTAGCTCTGCATCATGAGACTAGAGTAGGATTAGGCTAGTTAGGGAGGGGTCTTAGTGAATCATTGAGCTGTAAATGAAAAGAACTTGGTGGAAAAAGTGAAAGAATGTGTTGAGAAACTAGGGTGATATATTCATATCTTTGCATGTTTAGGGTGCATTTTAGTCCAAGAATATAGTCTCATGCATGCATTTTATATAGATTCATTGTGTTTACCTTTGTTTTAGAGTTTAAAGACTTTGCATTAGGTCCAAGTGAGTCTTGCATGTTTGGAGTGTCAAACAGGTGCTTTGGAAGTCATTTGGAGTGGAAAAGGTGAAACTAGGTGAAAAAATGGTGAAAGACAGTGTAAAAATGATGAAATAGGCATTTTGGAGTCTCTCGGCAAAATCCTGTACCGCAGGTCGACTATTCTCGGATAAAACCCATACCGTGGGAAGGCCAAAACACGTACTGTGTGTAGAATCCTTGGTCAAAAATCTCCTGTGCCGGTACGCATCAAAGATCGCGTTACTGGAAGGTTTTCCCGTCCAATTCAACTTCTGGGGTCTTCAGCAAAGATCACGATAATTGAGTCAAGGTTCCAGAACAGTTATAATCAATGGATTTTGAGCAGTGAGTTGTAACATATGGCTAATGGAGGACGAACCTGTCTTGCAGCCATTCTGAGCCGATCTGATAAGCCTCAGAGAAGACCCTGAACGGAGCCCATCCCGTCCCACCCAGTCTCTGGTGCCTTCATAAAATTTTGAGAGCTTTGCGTGTAGTTTCCAGAAGTTCAGGAGATTTGGAGCTGTGATCTGGGAGATAACGCAAACGGAGGATGCCAATCCAGACCAAAGCAATACGCCTGAAAGCTCGGCCAAAACATGTACTGTGTGTATAATCCTCGGACAAAATTCTCCTGTGTCGGTACGCGTCAAAGATCGCGTTACTGGAAGGTTTTCCCGTCCGATTCAACTTTCGGGGTCTTCAGAAAAGATCACGATAATTGAGTCAAGGTTCCTGCACAGTTAGAATCAATGGATTTTGAGCAGTGAGTTGTAACATATGGCTAATGGAGGACGAACCAGTCTTGCAGCCATTCTGAGCCGATCTGATCAGCCTCAGAGATGACCCTGAACGGAGCCTTGCCGGCCTCATATGGAGTTAGCTTTTTCACCAAAGTTCGATCTGGTTGAGTCATATATCCTGTGGACTTGGTCTTGTGTCATTTGGATCAGTGAGCTGAAAGTTACATAAAACAAAACAGAAGCATGTCACTCCAGGTTCAAAGAGCTTTTTGAGTACTAAGTGTTTTTCTTGTGCCTCGGTGTACACCCCTCGGTATATCTGTACGAGGCCTGTTTGCGAAACTTTTGGTCATTCCCTCAGTCTGACTCCTCGGCATACAACCCCTAAGCATTCTTGTTCAACAAACTAGTCCCCAAACGACTAAGTATCAAGCTGAAACATCTATCGAGTTTATCTTGAATTTTCCTAAGTGTTACAGCTGGCCTCAGCATAACCCTTCGCCTTCACTACCCTGAGAGCCTCCTGTACATGAGCTCCTCGACCTAGACACCTTGGCATGATTTTAACCCGAGGCAAAGTCCGAATGAAACTACCCAAAACCTCGGCTGTACACCTCGGCTTGTTCTATACCGAGGCACATATCTCACAAATGAAATGTGTAAGGCCTCGGCCTGACCCCTCACCCTAACTGACCTCGAGGCCTCCTGTCATGAACCAAGATCCCAAACAGCTTGTTTGACGCGCAAAAGGACTTAGCTGAATCATAGACAAGCTCACACATGTTCTTGAGATGTTCTTCACTTTTTTTACCCATGTCACTAGGGGATTAACAACACATCTTGCAAAGGATTAAGTGTGTTAATCATGATTAGTGAGTAGCCTTTTCATAAGGTTCTAGATAGGTAGATTAGGGTGTAAAGATGTTAGATTAGAGAGTTTAGAAGTTAGATCATGCATTTTCCTTTCTCTAAATATATGTTCTTAATGCTGGGTTTCTGATAATCACTGAAACCCAGATTCTAGATATTTCATGCACCAAAAGTGTTTGATGAAATGCCTGAACCAAGCTATGTTAGAGGTTTATGCATTAAAGCCATGAAAATGATTGTTTTATGCATAGATAACATATTAGAGCTAATAGCTAATGGTTATTGATTTATATTTCACAAATGGAAATTTGGTTTGAAAGTGGATTAGTATAGAGATTAATACCTTCATGAGAGGATTAGTCTACATTTGAGTTCTAAGTTGATTGGATTTGTTTGGCTGTTTGTCATTAGCTCTGTAGTTTGACATTGGTGCACCTTGATCAACTACCCTGTCTAGGACCTTTGTTACATCATCTTATATTCATCATCATCATCTCTTAATTTGCTTTTGTTATTGCTTTGTTTGTCTTTAATCTTGTTTAGCACTGCTTAGTGTCTTGTTTGAAACCAAAACCCACTTTGTCTTGCTTGAATTAAGATACAAATCACATAAGCTAGTGAAGTAGACCCACGATATGGATTGATATCCCTTTATACTACATCTGATAAAGAGGATTGATAACCCTCAAGAGTCCAAGAAACTCTTTGTTTATCAATTGGTACTGTTGCCAACTTGTGGAATTTAACATTAGTTTATGCTTTGTTCTTGAGATCAAGCATCTTTCTTTTGTTTAACTGATTATACTTTAGAGTTTTGTTTACAGGTGCATGGGAACAAGATCAAGGAGTTGTTACCCTCCTCTTCCCTACATTGAAAATATCAACCTGGTAGACACAGATGCTAGAAGAGCAAGGGAAAGAGCAGCACATCTTGAGAGATTGGGTATGGATCAGCAACAAGTCAGAGATGAGCATCAGGCTCAAGCATATGTTCAGGATTAGGGAGTTGGTATTGGAGTTCTTGGGATTGGCGTTCAGGTTCCACAACCACTGGTCCATCAGGGACAAGCTCAAGGACACCAAAACCAGCATACGCATCAGGTCAATCAACAACCCCACCCACAACCTCCCAGGCGTCATGAGCAACATCCAGTCTTTGTTGGAGAGAATGACAGGGCTAATGCACATCAATACAGAGCAGGAATCCAAGCTCCACCAGTCCAAAACAACAATTTTGAAGTAAAGGCATCACTTCTCAATATGGTGCAGAATTCAAAATTTCATGGGCTGCTTATGGGGGATCCACTTGAGCACCTTGATCAATTTGACAGAGTCTATGATCTGACAAAAATTAATAGGGTCTCAGAGGATAGCTTCAAGTTAAGATTGTTCCCTTTCAGCTTGGGAGACAAAGCTCATCAGTGGAAAAATAACTTACCAAGGGGTTCAATCCAAACAAGAGAACAATGTAAACTGACTTTCCTCTATAAATTCTTTTCCACATCAAGAAAAGCCAAGTTGAGGAATCAAATTTCAAGCTTTACCCAATACAACATTGAGAGCTTTGGGGAAGCATTGGAAAGATTTAGAAACTATACAAACTAATGCCCTCATCATGGTTTTTCTGAGGCTTCTCTTCTTAGGACTCTAGACAGAGGTGCTCTCTCCAAGTTCAGGACTCAACTTGATACAGCCTCAAATGGCAATTTCCTTGCTAAAAAAATCAATGCAGCAATGAAGCTGGTGGAGAACTTGGCTATGGGTAATGACACCTATGGAGAAGACTATGACAGAGCTTATAGAGTAGAAGGTTCTACTGAAGAACATAGACTGCAAAAGGATATAAAGGAGCTGCAAGTCAAGATTGACAAGGTCTTAGTTGCAACTCAGAAGCCTATAAACTTTGTGGGAGAGTTTAGTGAGAAGAACTGCTTTGAGAGTGTGAATGAGGATGGATTTAACACAAGAGGAGCTGCATTACATTGGAAATCAAACAAGTTCCAGAAGTATAACACTTACAATAACCAGAACTTGTGCTACAGAAACCCCAATGTAGCTAATCCTGGTGATCAAGTCTACCCCTCTCCACAAGCTCAGCAAGGATATCTTCCCAAGAACCAGTTCCAAGGAAACTTCCAAGTTCCACAGGCTTTACAGCAACAAGCGGTTCAGAACCAAGGGAATATCTTCCCAAATCAATTCAATTTCCAGCAACAAAAGTCTCTTCCTCCTGGATTTGGACAGCCACAAGTTCAACAGAGTACTTTTCAGCAGCAAGGTTCTGATATCAGTGTTGTTCTACAACAGATCCTGCAGGGCCAACAAAAGCTGGATTCTAGGTGTAATGACCTCAGTTCCAAGATGGAGACATTAGGGACTGAAATCAATACTCTTAAGAAAAACAAGGGCATCTCCACTTCTGAAGCTCAAAGCTCTCTGCCAGGCAAAGCTGTTCCAAACCCCAAGGAATATTGCAATGCCATATACTCAAGTGATGATCACACTTCTGCTGTTCAGGAAATTGAATACCTTCTTTATGGCCAAGTCTCTAATGAGTTAACCTTCAACAATGAGGATGAAGACTCCATCATAGATGACTTTGTTAGCATGTTCTCTGATCTCAATGAGAACAATGAGAAAGAAGGTGGAGAGGCAGCTTGTTTTGCTAGGGACAAAAACATTTCTGATGGTACTGAAGGCAAGGGACTGAACACTGATCAAGTCACTCCCCAAGATGGAATCTCCAGACTTGATTTAGCAAATGTGAAGCCTACATCACTCCGAAAGTTGGGTAATCCAGGGAAATTCACTATCTCTTGCACTCTTGGCAACTTCAGAGTTGAGAATGCTTTGTGTGATTCTGGCTCGAGTGTTGGTGTGATGTCTCTAGAATGATGGAGAGGCTAGGGATCAATACTTTCAAGCACTAACCTTTTTCAATTACCTTTGGAGATTCTTTCTCAAAGAAACCTTGTGGGCTACTAGAGAACTATCCATTGAAGGTTGGTGAGGGCATAGTCCCCACTGATTTATAATCATGAAGATGAAGAAGACCAAAGAGCTTCCTCTTTTGCTTGGGACTTCCTTTCTTAACACTACAGGGGTAAGAATTGACTTTGATACTCAAAGAGTGGTGCTCACAAAGGTGGATAAAGATGTCTCTTACCATGTTAAGCCTCCTTCAGCTGAGTTGTATGGAACTGTTATTCAAGAGATTGATGATCCCCAAGTGCATGAGATGAAATATGTGGGAATGATTGGTATTCTAGGAAGCGCTCAACCCCTTCCAGCTATGGAGGAGAAGAAAGAACTCCACACCAACCCTGTCTATAAGTATTAAGATGAGGAGCCCTTTATTAAAGAAGAAGCTTGCTTCATCTCTTTTCCCCCTATACCAAGTGAGACAGAGCTGAGCAACAAAAAGGGTAATGGTTCTGAATCAAAGGGAAGAATCCTTAGTCTGAATCTTGTTCTCAAGGCTTAACTCTTATCCCTTGGAAATGTAACGATGGAGCTATAAAGTACAAGATCCAATGCAATGGAAGATCAAAACTATATGCTGAGATCAGGGCAGTCTTCACACAAGCAATCATTGACAACGGGTCTAAGGGTATTCAAGAACTGATGAAAAAGGGTCTCAGGTTTTGAATTCAAAGACAAAGGATCTGATAATTTTCAGGTGCTGAATAGCACAGCCTTCTTGCTTGATACCATTGACAAGACAAGGATCATCAGTGGTCCTCCTCTCCCTCATTAAGAAAAGAGTATGAAAAGTCAAACTTAGTGACTTAAAACAAAGTGCTCTTGGGAGACACCCCAAGCTTATCCTTGTATATATTCTCTTAATCCTTTTTTTTATGTTTTAGGATGTTTTCGATGTGTGTGTTGAGTGATCTCAGGTGTTAAATGGAGTTTGTGCCCTGTGATCTCAAGCATGGTGAACAAGGTGGTAAAATGAAGCATACGGCTAAGTGTTTGTGTATGCCTCGCCTTGTGGCCTCGGCTTAAGATCTACCTGAGGCATAGATTTTTAGATAATATTTCTCACGAACCATATGCCTCGCGTAAGAACCCGCAGGATGGAACAGGCCGAGGCACAATGCCGAATGAAAACATGAAATACCTCGGCATGAGGCCATGGGCTGGATCATGGCGAGGCGTGGATGATTTGAGTACATAGGGAATCTGAACATATGCCTCAACATATATGCCTTGGGCTGATCCATGTCGAGGCACACTTCACCAAATAAAAGGTTCAACACCTCGAGGTGAGGCCGCAGGTAAAACATGGCGAGGTCGTATGAGGTTCTTCAAGCCAAAGTCAAAAATTCATGCCTCGAGATGGTGGCCTCGAGCTGGGACATGTCAAGGCATGCATAAAAGCCTCGGCCAAGAAACAAGAGGCCTCGGCATAAAAGCCTCGGCCAAATGCATCCCGAGGCCAATGCCAAAACAAAACAGTCAAAACCTCGAGTTAAGGCCACGGGTGGACAAAAGGGCGAGGCAGGGGTATGAAGATGAACACAAACCCAGAAAATGATGCCTCGGGTTGGAGGAAGAACAGTCCATGGTGAGGCACCAAGGCGAGGCAATGATAAAATGGTGCAAGATCAAGCTTTTACCATCACTTCAAGAGCTTTTAGAGCAGTGCAAGGAGCCGCATCAAACCAACAACTCTTCCAATGATGTTTGGTCTCCTGAGGTGTATCATTCCACTCCTCCATTCCTGTACATAGCATTCAAGCATCTAGTTTTTCTTTTTCTTAGTTTGTCTTTTTCATGTTTGTTTATCCTCTTGCTCATGCTTTTATTACACAGGGACAGTGTAATTTAAGTGTGGGGGAGGGGTTTTGTGTTTACTAATCATGTTTTTGTGTTCTTGTTTTCCCTTTTGCATCTTGAGTCTCATTTGATAGGGCATAGCATCTAAGTGCATAGAAAACCAAAAAAAAATGTTCATTCAGCTGCATTCACATGTTAAGATTGAATTTAGAGTTGCATAATCATATAGGTCTGCATCATTTACATGGGAGTAATGATAGATTTCTTTGCGAGAGCATCATATTAAGATTTTAGTTCATAACCCTAGTTATTAGTTCTTTGATGCTTGCAAGTGACAAAATGTGTGACGATGTTTAGACCTTGATTGAAGCAAGCTTTGAATTGAATTCAGCCTTATCAAGTGGAACTCTTAACCTGACTTTGAATTATCATGTGATGCTTGTTTAGATATACTTGTGGATACATATACATACATATAATTACCACTCTTGTTAACCCAAGTAGCTGATCTCCATCATTGAGACAGTTTTCCCTGCCCTTAACTAATCCATATTTGAAACCTAAACACTCTAGTGAGCAATGTGAGGCCTAGTTTTGAATAAACTTGACAGAAAGTGTTGGGTTTAGAGCGACAAGAGTAGGCTTTCATGTAGATCTAGATCTGCATCATGAGCCTAGAGTAGATTGAGATGAGCCAGGGGATGGAAAAGAAAAGAAAATGGATTGGGGTCTGGTGTTCAAAGATAAAACTCTAGCCCCTAAGTGAAAAGAAAGAAAACAAAAGAAGCAAAAGGGCTCAAGTATCTAAAGAGAAAAACAAAGAGGCTAGAGTGTGCTTTGTGAGAAAGAGCTAAGTTAACGGTTTAGACCCCAAAGCCAGACTTTGATAATGAAAAGCTGAATCCCATGGTGAGAAAAAGAATGAGAGTGAAGTGAGAAGTGGGCTTAAAAGGCAATGAAATCCTTGGATAAAGGTAGCTTAGGAGTGTTCTTCATGGGTTTAGAATTTAAGGTGAAAGATCAATTTGGGGCATTGGGTAGATCGGAGTCTACTCTTGTATGCATCAGTTGCTTTTTACCCTTAGCATTCTTATTCCTTCATAAAGTTTACCCATACGTGTGTTAAGCATGATTAGTGAGTAGTCTTCTTTTAAGCTTTTAAGTGTGTTGATTAGGGGGCTTGGATGTTGATTTATGATGTTTAAGTTCTAGATTCTCATTTCATTTCCTTAGTTAGCTGCTCTTTATGCTAGATCTCTCATTATAAGCTTGATCTTTATTTGAATTTGAGTCCTTGTTTAGTTTCTCTTGTTTGCTTGTTCTTAATTACAGCTTGTTCTTGTTTGTTTTATGTTTTAGATCAATTAGTCACCAACCTGCTTATTAGACTTGGATTAAGATAGTTTCATCATAGTTCTAGTGTCTAGAATCTCTCCATTTGGATTGACCCTCAAGTTCTACAACATAAGAGGTTAATTGACCTTAGTAGGCTAAAAACCTATCAGTGAGACATAAAATGCTAAGTAAAATGCATGCTCAAAAACTATCAAATTATGCATATATCAACTCCCGGCACTTACACTTTGTTTGTCCTCAAGCAAACAAGAACAAATGAGAAAGAGGTTTGGAGTTTGGGAGTTCACATTTTCTTTAAAGAGAGAGAGGTGATCATCAAAAGAACTCAAGCTCATAGTCCTAGTTACTAGTTCTGAAATGCAATGCAATGAATACTTTGAATGCAGCAAGTTCAAGCCCTGATCTACATAAACATTCTTATCTCTCAGCCTTTTAACATTCATTAAGTTGTAACCATGGGGATCAAAGTGATGCATACTCAAAT